GTAGTAGAGATGAGTGAGCTGTGAGAACATCTTTACACCTACGAACAATGAGCAGAGGCTGAGCTGGCAGCAAGCAGCTATTCTCATTGCCCCGAAGGAGCTGAGCTGATTTGCAGTGTAATTAATATGCATCAGATCTAGAAACCTGAGATCAGGGTTTTGGCTTGCTCAGAAAATATCCTTCCCTGCTTATTATTACTCCCAAATGGAATTCTTTGCAGGTGTGGAGAGTGTTCTTGCTACTGACAACATACCTCCTCCTGTTTATTTATCTTTAAAGCTTAGTGTTTCTAGTTTCCTGCCTGGGGTTTGTTCTCCAGGCAGGAGGGGAAGGTGTGCCCAAGTGTGCATCAGCAGGAGAGGCATTGGTGCAGGTAGGCGTTCTCTCCCAAACCACCGAGGAGAAGCAGGGGGATCACACCCACCTAGAAATACACACTAACATATGTACAGGCCTTTTTGAGCCTGAGTCACTGCTGGATGCCAGATCTCCACAGAGTCCTGCCCAGAGATGGTGCAACAGTCTGCCAGGAAGCAGTCTTGCTTCATAAAACTATGGGAAAGGTGCAGCTGTTGCTGCTGCCCACAGATTTCCAGGATCTTTGTGTAATGGAAGGCAACACCAAGTTGAGCTGCTGACACTGCTCTTTGTGCTTTACCAGGTAGCTGTGGTGCTAGTGCAGCTGCAGACAGGAAAATACAAGCTCCTAGTCCAGGTCAGGAAGTCTGGGGTGCTGGGGGGACAGACTGTGGAAACAAGAATTATGTCTGCAAGGGCATTTCTCTGCCTTGTGTTTCTTGCCACGATGCCTGCTGAGCTCAGGACTGATGTGGTTTGTTTTCGCTGGAGAGCCAAGATGGGAAGAATGGTAGGCGGAAGGAGAGGCAGCACAGGGTTTTGCAGTCCCACACCCTCGCAGTGAATGTGTTCAGAGCTTGTTGAGTCACACAGTGAACAGAGCCCAGGTGGCATCACCTGAGAAACTGAGCCATCTCTTCTGGTGTGGATGTCCTGACCTTGCTCAGGGGAGCTGCTGTCCTGGTGCACACTGCTGACACAGTTGTCATGTGCAAATGGACAGTTTCGGGTTTATGTTCCCAGGGTGGGGGTCACAGAGATGGTGCAGGTCTGCACTGAGTCCTACAGACAAGTCCTGAGCGTGGGGCTGGAGAACACAGACAGTGAGGCAGTTGGGGAGGTGTTGGCTAGCCCTGGACAGTGTTAGCAGAACTCTCCTGTCTCTAGTCACAGCACTGTCTAGGCCAATATGGGATGTGTGACATGTCACTTAGTGGTGTTGGGGGAGCATCCTCTTAGCTGGAATAACAAGGAAATAGCATAACATAGGTCAGGGAAAAGTTCCTTAGCATACCTTGGCACGCTTGGAGGAGCTGTTGGTTCCTGCTTGTACTGGCTGTGAAGGGAGGCAACACTGACAGTTACACATATTGGTGGGAGTAAAACTTGCTCAAAGTTGAATAGCCCTGACTTCTGTTTGGAAATCAGTGGGAGATATCTATTCCAGATGTGCACTGAGTCCTGTTGGTCCTGACAGCAGAGCAGAAGGCCTGAGCATAGAGCAGGGCATGAAACTCCTGAGGTGGTCACTGGTACAACCATCTAAGTGCCACAGCTCCAGCCTTTTGGGCTTGTAACTATGGAGTGTCCCCACCAAGGGAATTAGGAAAGTGATGCTTCTGCCTACCAATGTGCCTCTTCTTCAGGAGGTTGTAAAGCTCCCTGGAACTTTAGGAATAAAGGCATCAGAGTTTTGCAGCCTCTTTGTATCTTCTAGGTTTGGGGAATATTTATATGATATGTTAAGATTTCAGTAGGCACAGGGTGGGGTTTATCCAGATGGTCGTATTTAAACAACAGGCTGATAAGGGAGTACTGAGAAGTTTGTTAGATACACATGTTGTGCAGGAATTAGCCCTTAACAGCACTTGTAGTAAAGAGGCAGCAAAGGCGTTCAGCTGTTGATGCTGCGAGTGGGAGGAGGTGTTCCTGGAGGGTTCGCTCTGTCCCTGGGCGGGAGGCTGGCGCCGATTGCAGTGTCTGAGTGACTGCGAGGAGCGGTGTGTGCTGCTCTCTGCTGGCTCCAGAGGGCACGATGCGCTGTGGCCCTCGGGTACACAGCAGCTGGGCAGCGACTCACAGGGAGTTACTCTTGGGCTCAGGAACAGGTGATGGAGAGAAGCCTGAAGTGTGACCCAGCACTAGGTAATGAAGAAGATGCATGGCCATGCCTGCCCCTGGGAGAGAGGGCAGCAGCAAGGAGCGGAGTTTACTGCAAGGAATATTTAACAGGCTTTTTTCATTTTCTGAATCTGACAAATTTACTGAATTTGCTCTGGTAGGAGTCATGGCTAAGGAACGTGTTGCCCCAGTGCCAAATCTGGAGCTCATATTGCACTGCAACATTTTTCCTGTTTTTCTCACCAGCACCGGCAGCTGCTGAAGGACAGTTTCATGGTGGAGCTGGTGGAGGGAGCTCGCAAGCTACGTCATGTCTTTCTTTTTACTGATCTGTTCCTGTGTGCCAAGCTCAAGAAGCAGATTGGAGGGTGAGATTTTCCTTATGTACTGTGTGCTTTGCACCTCAGCTTCAACAGAATCCTGGGTTTAGCCTGCAGTTTTAGTTGAATATGAGTACCCCAGACCTGGGGTACAAGATGTAGGTAGACAAGCAATGATGGACAAGGTAGGACTGTTTATTATATGAGACCTTTTCCAAGTCCTGATCCCTCAGAAAAGGTTAATTCCTCCCATCCCTGCCTCGAGCCTTCATAGAAAAATAGGATATGCTGTAGCTGCTGGTATTGTGGAGAAATGCCATTCATTTTTCTACTTCCCCTTTCTTTTAATAGGTGACATTCTTCACTTTTGTTTTGTGACTAAGGTTATTAATTTTGGCCTTGCAGCTGCAGCCTGTTAACAGTTTTACAGAAAAATGGCAAAGGTGCAATAAACAGACTATGGGTCAACCCCAAAGTGCAGCAATAAAACAGCTTTGTTGAGGGGGAGGAACCTTTACCAATGTACCTGCCTCAAATAGGGTTTCTCTTTATTTGGTAAATGTTCTTCTCAGGGAGACCCCTCTCATCATCTTGCCACCCTCAAACAAAAAATTATGTCTGCCACTTTTGAAGCATGTGATTGAGAGGAATGAACCTTCCAGGGAATGGCATATTCCTAAGAGTGGATGTTCCTGACAGTAGAGGTAAAGAGGGAATAAATCACGTGAAACATTAAAAAAGTGAATTGGTTATCCTGGTGAAATCACTGGAGAATGGCAGCTGGGAGCTGTAGTTTGTCTCTTCTGATTGGATTACACAGAGGTTTATACATGTTAGCTCACCTGCCCTGCTTGGCCCTAGGTCAGGCAGGAGAAGCCTGGGTTTAGATCAGAGGTAGCAGCCAGGTCAGAGGTATGGCACAGCTTTAGGACTTTGCCTCCACGGAGGCTTCAAAGGGAGAGCACACAGGACTGAAAGGGTTTGCAGAACATGGCTGTGGTTTTAGTATGAAAAGAACTAGATGACAAAACGAGTTGCCTTGTTATGTGCTGTACTGGCTATTGGCCCTACTAGGCTTTCTTGCTGGAAAGCAGCCTTTTGCCAGACTTTTTCCACATGGGAATCACAGTGAAGTTTGGCCCATATCTGTATCTTATGCATTATAGCAGGGAAGGGTGACTCATGGGAAGGGGGAGTGGATGTTTCCAAAAAGCAGTAGTGCTAAAAGGTTTGGCCCTTCTGCCTTTCAGAAAAAGCCAGCAATATGACTGCAAATGGTACATCCCACTCACTGACCTCAGCTTCCAAATGGTGGATGAGTCTGAGGCAGTGCCCAATATCCCACTGGTACCTGATGAGGAACTGGATGCCATGAAGATCAAGATATCCCAGATCAAGAATGACATTCAGCGGGAAAAGGTAAGAGTTGTTGAGCACTCCATGATAGGTAGAGACTCTGTGCTGAGATGAGGTGCTGACAGCAGCAGCACTCCCTGGGCTGCATAGCATGGGGAGTCATGCTAGAACAGACTGTTGAGCAGAGGTTTGTGATATCCAGCTGCTTTGCAGGCCATTGTTGCTCATCCTAATGCACAGCTTGAATGATGGTGTCCTGTGAGGAGGCAAAACCAGAAAGATCCTATAGTTGTACTCAGTAGCTCCTCTACTAGTGTGAAACCACCTATGACTGCTATCCCTGAGCATCCATGTAGAGGGCTAGCTCTTATACTGTGAACCTGAGAAGGACTGGGAGTGTGACATGCCAATTTCTGGCTGCTAAAGTATGGTCCTGCAAGTGATTCTGGTCAGAAGCCATGTACTCCTAAATTTTTTCAGGCTCAGTTATGCTACTGAGCACCAGTAAATATGTGGAGAACACCATTTATGCTGATTAAATAGTCTGACACAGACATGGTGTCCCTGGCCCAGGCTTCTCTTTGTGTGCAAGACATGGTTTTTCAGAGGTGTTAGGTTTCAAACCTTGCTGGAACCCAAAAGAGAAATAAGTTTGAAAACTGAAAGGCTGCTGGTATGTAGAGCAGAATATGAATAACATTGCCTGTACCATGAGAAGAGTATTCCCCACATTTTCAAAGAACATGCTTCTGCCTCTGCCATGGCTGGCTTTCAGAGGACTTCCTGGAAAAAATAAAGTTGTTAGGAAGAACACCCTGTGGAAGCCTCTTACTCAGCAGGTACAGGTGTCCAAGGTAGACACTCCAGTGCACCCATGCCAAACAATGTGGCTGGGGACTATACCCAGGAAAACCCCATGTTTTTAGCTGACCTCTGATGAGAACTGTGATGAGTTGGAGAGTTGTGGGCAGCTTCTTGAGAGGTTCCTTATAGTCTCCTTAGATAAGGATGCTTGTGGAGGATGTGGCAGTGCTATGGCTGCCTGGTGACACGATGCTGCTGCAGCCTCTGGAACAGAAAGTACAGGGTATAGCTGGGACAGTGGCCACACAGCTCTGCAGCTTTGTCTGGGACAGCTGGAATTGGGGAACAGAGCCACGTTTGGGTGTAGAGGTAGAGTCTGAGTACAGGTAACATCACCCTGAGCAGCTGAGAGTCCTGTGAATCCTGTTGGCAGCATTCTTCTGCCCTGGGGCCAGTTACCTACACACAGAGGGAAGGGACTGTGGATGTTCAAGTATCTGTTAGTGTGAATGGGGGGCAGATGTTGGAGAATGACACATGTCCTCTGTCACCCTCTCTCCCCTGTGCCTTCAGAGGGCCAATAAAGGAAGCAAGGTCATTGAGAGGTTAAAAAAGAAGCTTTCTGAGCAGGAATCCCTCCTACTGCTGATGTCTCCCAACATGGCTTTCCGGGTACACAATCGCAACGGCAAGGTGAGTGGCTCTCCTGGTCACCCTCAGTGTACCAGACAGAGATCCCAGTGGTGGTGGGGGGTGTGATGGTATCTGCTGTTGCACAAGGATGGTCTTCATGGCCTCTGCTGTCTGTCCTGAAAGCACTTTCCAAGCTGCAGACACCTAACCCTTGCTGTACCAAAGGTTATGGTGATGTCCTGTAAGGCTGTGGCTAATTTGTATACAACATTGGCATTTAAATAATAACCATACAAATGAATCCCCTACCTCAGCATCAGCTGAGTAGTAGGAACAGCTCTTTACCCAAAACACAGCTCTGCAGCAGTTGCCTTCTACACTCCCCTGCAAGCTCAAGGCTTGGCACACTCAGGGCAGTCTCCTCAGGCCTGGAGCTGCACTTCCAGGGTTATCCTCTGCTGGCAGTGCTGTAACCTGTCACCATTGCCTTTCCATGCACATGGCAAAGGATTCTCACAAGGCTGTGTTGCTACTCAGTGAAAATCCATGTGCTGGTCACTGCTTCCTCAGCTTGCATCAGTGTCTAGACCTGTGCTGGAGGCTTTTGGGCTCCTAGTGCAGATGTTGTGAGGAGTAGTACAGAGCTGCTGTGGGAGCTTATGCTGCCAGGGACAGCTGCTGTTGGCAGGTTAGAGCTCTGTTAGAGCTCTGACTGTCCATGTTGGTACCACTGGCACATTGCTGAAGGCAGTTGCCAGAGCCTGTCCTGACAGAGCTGTGACACAGGACAACTGCAGGAGTGCCAGGAGGACAGTGTATCCAGCAGTGTGCACTGGAGCAGGGTGGGAGCAGGCTGGCCAGCTCTCAATGGTCCACCAGACTAATGCATACCCTCTTTTCTTCTGTTTTCCTGGGTAGAGTTACACATTCCTCATTTCATCGGACTATGAAAGGGCAGAGTGGAGGGAGAATATCCGGGAGCAACAGAAGAAATGTGAGTGTCCCTTGGCTGTCATTAGTCCAAATGCTGTGATCTTATTAGACAGCAGAATGCTAGAGAGTGAGGTGTGGGGCAAGGTTCCCTGCAAAAACAGATATGCATTGAAATCCACAGCACAACATGGATGTCTCTTGTCTGTGCATGTCTGAGGCTGTTTGGGGGACTCATGCCTGCAGCAACAGGTAGGGAATGTGTAGGGAGAGCACTTAATGGTGTGTGTAGAGAGTGTCTCATTTACCCTAGAGATCAGAGCTCTGTTCCAAGCTGAGGGAACAGCTGCACGTTTTACCTGGCTCCAGTCCAAAGAAACTTACTTTGTTGGCATGGGTGGCTTTTTGGCTTTGCAAAAAAATAAGAGCTTCCCTTGTTTCACCATCCTGAGACTTTTTGCTCCAAAGAGTAACTGAATATGCCCTCAGTAGAGCTGGGCTGCAGCACCAGTACTGCCCTGAGCAGTGGTGCTGCTGCTGAGCATTGCCCAGGAAGCAGCTATCCCATGTGTGCCCAGAGTCAAGAAGAATGCATCCAGCCTCTCCTTTGAATTTTAATTCTTCCCTTTCTGAATCTCCTTGCAAGGCTTTAAAAGCTTCTCACTCACATCAGTGGAGCTCCAGATGCTGACAAACTCCTGTGTGAAGCTTCAGACAGTTCACAACATTCCCCTCACTATCAATAAGGAAGGTAAGACTCTTTGGTTTATACTTTCAGTCTGTTATCCCATTTTACTTGCTGCAGCAATAAAAATACAAGCTCCAAATTCTATGGCTACATCTGAATTAGCAAAATATTCCTGGACATCCTCCTGTATATATTAATTGACTATTAAATGGTCTTTACGTGCAGCTGTCACACAAGGTATTGGAGGGCCTGGTGGAGTCCTATCCTGGGACAGCTTTGAACTATGCCTGGGAATCCTTTGGAAGAACACTAGTTGGTCACAATTGTCAGAGACCATCTTAAATTTCTATTTAGTTGGCTAGTGTAGAGTTAGCCTCTATACTTTACTTTTTTTCCCTTGAATTTCTTCTATGCCATCTTGCTGACCCTAGAAATGTCACTGTAAAAACCCACTGCCAGAGGGCAGTTCAGGTGACACTGACACTGAACCTGGAAGGGTCTCTTCTCTTGCCAAAATGGTTATGTGCTCCTGCCATCCTCCTTAGGGACAGTTTACCCTCTGCTTGTTAACCTGTGTTATATCAGTATTCTCTCTTTCCACTCTCTGAGTGTAACAAAATTCCTTGGATCTTTTGTACAGATGATGAATCCCCAGGTCTCTATGGATTCCTGAATGTCATTGTCCACTCTGCCACAGGTTTCAAGCAAAGCTCAAGTGAGTTGCAGTTCTGGGACACACAGAGGTACTGATAGGGGTTAGATAAATCATATACTGGCACTGCTGGGCATGGGCTGGGTTAGGATTGCAGCATCTGTGATGATGGTGAGGAAGTTCCTACTGTTGACTCTCAGATCACCATCAAGGATCAAACATGCAGTACTTATTTTTAGGTCTAGTCTGTTCGGGCTTGTAAGAAGTGTTTGCTGATTACGCTGTTCTAGACACAAGTCAGCCCTTATCCTGAATTCTTTCAGCTCTAATTCGTTTTGCAGTGAAAGAAAGAGTTGTCTGACATCCAGAATTTTTGTTGTGAAGAGGTGTTAAAATTCAGGGGAGTGAATTGACAGAAGGTGAAAAACTAGAGTGAAAAGGACTGAGGTAGCAACATCATTTATTCAGCTGTGCTGGTACTTCAGCTTTCTAAACACAACTGGGCTGATCCAGATGATGAGATTTGCCCTGCATTGTATTACTGGTACTAACACAAAGATGATGGAAATGAAGACACACCCTGAAAGTGATTAATGCAAGTTAGGAGGTTATATATTTCTAAGTTGCTGTCCCTGTCTCCCCTCCTCAGATTTGTACTGCACATTAGAGGTGGATTCTTTTGGGTATTTCGTGAACAAGGCCAAAACTAGAGTTTACAGAGACACCACAGAGCCCAATTGGAATGAGGTAGGTTTGATTTTTCTCAATGTGACTTATTCCATGTGCCAAACATCAGCATAGGATGGGCAGAAGACTCAGCAATGGAAGAATTTGTTGCATGCTCAGCACTTGTGCTACATGTGCAGTTCACAGAAAACACTTTTCTGTCAGGTTGATTGGGCAGTCAGGGCTTGCAGAAGATTTTCTCTCGTATTAGCTGTAGTTAAACAGTTTGATACAAATGAGTCTTGTTCAGTATTTCATCATTTAAACAGATGCATATTTGATTATTTTTTAAAGACATGAGTGAAAATATGTCAAAGAAGGTGGTTTTGTTTATTTGTTGAGGGTGGGAAGAGTTAGCTATAGACATTTTGCCTGTTTGCAGCCAACTCAGACCTGCTAGTGAGCAAAATTAATTACAAGGAAGGTGGATAAGTTTGTGTCTTTGAAAAATGCTTTGCTGAGACCCAGTGAGACCTGACGAATGAGGCAACCATCTCTTAGTCTTCAATTTGACCACTTTATGTATACAAAATATAATTTCAGTTTATTTCTAGAACAACTCCATTAGGGAGGAGGTTTTGGTCAGTCTTAAGTGCTCCCCTTCTGGTGAGTTTTAAGGAGAGTGGTGTCCTGCTGTGATGCATTCACTGCTCTTTCCTTTCCTAATGCCCTGCAGGAGTTTGAGATTGAGCTGGAGGGCTCACAGACACTGCGGATTCTGTGCTATGAGAAGTGCTACAACAAAACCAAACTCACCAAAGAGGATGGAGAGAGCACAGATCGCATAATGGGGAAAGGGCAGATCCAGGTAAGACTCTGCTGAACTCATTCCTGAAAAAAAACCCTCACTGCATCATGGGAGTTTCGAATCCTGGAGTGCACCAGGGAGGGTTTTCCTCTGCCTTCTGATTGTCTCAACATTGAAGATTTTCCTCTGGATAGTGAGGTACACAGTGTGATTCACAGGTGGGAAGTAAGCAGCTCTGTGCTCTACGCCTGTTTCAGCACCCTGATGGAATACCTGCTTTTTCAAGAAAACTTGTTTTGATCTCTGAATGGGAGTTTCGAATCCTGGAGTGCACCAGGGAGGGTTTTCCTCTGCCTTCTGATTGTCTCAACATTGAAGATTTTCCTCTGGATAGTGAGGTACACAGTGTGATTCACAGGTGGGAAGTAAGCAGCTCTGTGCTCTACGCCTGTTTCAGCACCCTGATGGAATACCTGCTTTTTCAAGAAAACTTGTTTTGATCTCTGATTTGCCTATTAGTTTCCAAACTTCCAACCCAATGTGTAGGAACTGCACTGCCCTTGGTCCCTGGGCCCTGTTGAGGATGCTCCATTTGTGACAGAAGGAAGTGATGAATATCCTCTCCCCTCAGTAAATCATGTGCAGAAATACTGCCATCTGTGTGTTAGCTCAGGTTAGTTGGTTGATGTGCTAGCCAGGCCCTGAAGGACAGGCTTATTGGTCCTGCTAGCTGCCATGTCCAGACTGTGGTGTCCCTCCCTGAGGGAGATTTCTGCCACTGAGGACTGGCATGGGACACTGTCTGTGTGGCAGGTTTGTAACACAGTAGGGGAGGAGATTGCAAATGGATGGTGCTCTTGGGGAGCTGCTGTGTGATAGAGCACTAAAACTGTATGTAGGCGAAATCAGGCTATCCCTGGAGGATGACATGGGGAACATATGTTCCCCCTCTTGTTCCAGTTTGTTGCACTGTCTGTCCACAGCTTTAGGAGAATGTTTAAATGCCTGCTCTGAAGACATACTTTGTGTTGGACTGGCTGTTGTGCAGAGCAGAGACCCTGCCCAGATAATCTATTTCTTTCTGGCATGCTTAAAGGCATCAGCAGTTCCCCTCCATTATGTGTGCCTGCTCATCACCCCGAGGTGACAGCTTTGCCCAGCACTTGAGTGATGGTCACACAGGCCAAGGCCATTTGTGGACCTGCAGAAGCAGCTCTGATTGAGGACAGCCTGAGGGATCACGTCTCACCTAGCTCTGGCAGGGTTCATTGGTTAAATGGCTTTCATCAGGCCTGTTCCTTCCCTCCCTCCTTGCAGCTCGAGGCTGCCACGCTCTCCAGGGAGAGCTTTTGTCCCAAATGCATGGTAGGAATTGTGCACAAATTGTTAAGTGCCAGCACAGGGTGTCTGTCTCCTGTGTGTGTGTCTCAGGCCGACCAGAAATCTGTGTGTCCCTTCTGCTAACAAAGGTTATTTTCCATGGAGCTGAGCAGCTACAAAAGAGCAAGTTTTCAGCCCCGAAGTGCCCTGGAGGTTTGTGTGCTCATAACACAGAACCCTGAAATCACTGACCCACTAAATTCTCCAAATACTCTATACAGAATGAATAAAAAACCCAAATAAAATATTTTACATTTTTAGCATTTTTTTTCTCACAGAAGTGGGCATTTTTATGCACAGCAATTGTATATTCTGTTAATACATTGTATACTTAAGTTAGTAAGTAAAACTACTCTTTGACACTTGAATATTGATTGCAGCTTGATTCTTTTAGAGAAACCTGAAGACTGGAAGGTTAAGAAAAAAGCAATAAAAATGTTTTTGATTAATGTGCAAAAGTTGCATTCTGTTGTATTGTAAAAGGCACATGCAAAAGTCCTGTAAATTCCCTTTGCAATTTAGAAAGAAACTGGGTGAACTGTTAGCACATCCTCTTAATTTTCAGTGATTTCTGTCCCATCACACAAATTTTCAACACTATTGCATAACTGCAAAGAGAATGTGTAAACACTCTAGTAAGATCTTGGACTGATATGAATTATTACAAGTTTTTAATTTCGGTTTAGTTTTAAAGTGAATAGCATTTCTCTGTTAAGAAACCATAATAATGCAACAACAAAATGTGATTACAGCCTGTGGCTGACACGTGGCTATGTTAATGCTGTCACCATCTCTTCCAGTCACTGGTTTTGTGGACTTTTTCTGTCAGTATTCTCCCTGGTGCTTTTACATCCGATTTTGTTTACTTTAGAGATAGTGTACCCTGGGCTTTCTGGTTTGTTGCTGTTGTTGCATTGTCGTTATTCAGCCAAGCTGTCTGTGAAGTTGAATGAGGATATTTTCATCAATTCCCTTTAGTTAAAAACTCTGGGACCATGGAGAGTCGTGGCTGCATCCTCTGGTTGCTAAAAGCAGGAACATTTCTCTGTTGGCTAAATCGCAGTGTATTGTTAAGCCAAGTATTATTGTAAAGCTGCAATTTCCCACTGCTGGGAGTTCTGACTCACCATATTCTCTGAGCTTCAGTGATGAAGACAATGCATCATGGAGATGAGGACTGTTGACTGTGAAATGTTTATTAAATCTCTGTTACATTATTGAACTGGAGGAAGGAAGACTGGAAATTGGTCCACGTGGTCAGAAGTTTTCAGGAATGGGCAGCAATTTTAATAGCTCCCATTGCTCATATTTTCTTTTCCTATGGAACATTTTATTTGCCTATTTTTATAGCCACATGCAAGAGCTGCTTTGTTCCTTGCCAACCTGCAAGCTTTATCCCTGAAAAATAAAACCATGAAGTTTTAATATGGGAGAATCTCCTGTAAAGGTAGAAGTCAAGTCCTCATCAGCCCCTCTGGGTGTGGCAGCACTGGGTGTGCAGTGTGGAACTGACCCCTTAGCATGGCTGGAGGCTTCTGGTAGCCCTCAGGCATGAGAAGTACCACTCCTGGGCACGCTGAAACTGAAATCATTGAGGGACTTAGGGGAGGAGGGAATGGACATCATCTTATAAGAGGAAATATGAGGTTTAGTGCAGCTGTAAGCATCAGCATCGTTTTGAACACCCTGTCCTTTTTTTCTTTGTTACCTTGCAATCCATCTTTGCTACTTGGGCTGTCCCTTTGCTCTTTGAGTTTGGCACTTCACGTGGCAGACACAGCCACATGTTTTGAGTGTAGAAGCCTTTTGTTTGGTCCTGAGAGTGTGTCTAAGTGGGCACATATGTCAGCACGACTGCCTCTGCCTCAGGAGCAGACTGAATGAGTAAATTGATACTTCACCCTGTGATCCAGGTCCTCCCATTTGTGCCTCCTAGAAATGCTGTTTCCTTTGCTGTTCTTTTTCTGCATGATCAGCTCAGGCAAAATATTTCCTTCTCCCGAACAGCAGTGCTGGGAAATGAGGGAGGATATGACCTTAGATCAGTCATTCTGTGGAAACAGTGCAACACCATTCCTCTGTTGCTTTGCAAAACAATCACTCTTATCTGCTTAATTATCTGGCATGTCTCATAGCAGTGCCCATGGCTATTTCAGGCACTAGGTTGTTTTCCATGTAAACCAGATTGTTGGATGTTGTACCTCCCAAGTGTCAGCTCAGAAACCTTTTACACACTCGAGTTCGTTTAAGCAGTTTGCTCAGGCAGAACAGTGTCCCTGCAATGAAAATAGGGGGGAAATGAAGAAGGCAATGGGTCATGGCTAAAGGGTGATGGTGGGAAAGATTAACCTGTCAGTGGGGAGCTGTGAGAAGAATGGGGTTATAGCTGTCCTGGGAGTTTCCAGCAGCAGTGAGACTCTGGCAACATGTATGTCAGTGCAGTTACAATTCAAAATTGATGGAGTGTAAAGTTGCCAGGGAAATTTAATAAAGGGAAGAAGTAATGTGAATGAATAACATAAACCACACTAACCTTAATGTTTCTTCAGTCCTTGCTCTTTCATTTCCACTGTTTTTTCCTCTTTCTCTGTTTTCTTTCTCGGAAAAGATCATCAAGTTCTCTGTGGTGGTTTTCTAAGGCACAGATACCTTTCTTAGTGCCTGGCTTGCATTTGCCTGACTGGCATCCCCAGTTTGCCTTTTCTCAGGTCCTCTGCACTCTCAGCCTCTCCTGACTGCTGTGGCCTGTCTGAATTCAGTGCTGAGCTACTGTATAGGCCAGAGATGCACGCAGAAACCCCCATGGTGCTGAGCTGTTTTGTTCTATTGTGTTTTGGTCAGAATACAGAGAGGTATTGGCTTGATTCATGAGTGAAGGCAACAAGGGGATTGGAGGAGCAGCAAACAGACAAAATGGTTTGTATTTTCCTGTGCAGCAGGAGCTTTTGGTGAGGACTGTGCAAACAAGCCCATGCAATAGTCTTTGAGGGTTTTAGCAGGTCTGTCCTACTTGCATAGGGCATGGAAAAAACACAGTGGTTCAGTTTCAGTGAAGATGGGACAAGTGCTTTAGTTGCTGTAACCAAGCAATTGTTTGAAGGAACTGTGTAGAGGAGCAGGAAATTTCACTGTAAAGTGCCTGCAGATGCTGTCATTGCACAGTGCTTCCCCTGCCTGGGCTGGCACAGCCCTCAGAGCTGCCTCCCTCTGGCATGCTGGCTGTGGATTGCATTCTTCTGCTCAGTGTTCCTCCTTCTTCCAGGTCATTGATCTCCAAATCAGGCCAGAAGACAGCATGGCCCCATTTGTCACAGGTCCTCTCTGTGCTGGATCATCACACTGGCTAACTCTTTGTCCTCAGTGTGCTCTGTAGCTATCTGCTCCAGCTGCCCTTTCCCTGTCTTGCTCTTGCTGGCCTCAGGTCAGTCATCAGTTGAATCCAGGACTGAAGCTTGCTGAAAGTCTCGATGACGTTCCTGGTTTCCTGGTGCCTCTGTTATTTCCTACTGTGACTTTATCAGGCTGTTAGACCTGATCTTCCTGTCTCGCTCTGTGTTGCTGAGAGCTTATTCAAGCTTTGCTCTTTTAATAGCTTCCATCATTTTGCTTTGTTATTTAAAAAGCACCTTGGGTGGGATTTTTTTTTTCTTAATTGGTGTTGTTATTGCAGTGATTTATGCAGGGTTGGGTCGGGTCAGCCAGCCCTCCTGGCTGTCTCCATTCAGTGCCAGCTGTTCCCCAGCAGGTGGGGCGTGCAGGGGTCCTGCCAGCCCTGCAGCAGAGTGCAGAGAGAAGGGAGCAGGAGGCAGCAGCAGGTACACTCGGCTGCACTCACAGGCCTTGCTCAGCTCCAGCAGTTACCCAGCAAGGAAGAGTCTCTGTGAGCTCTCAGCTCCAGTCTGGTCCTTCTGCTAGTCCTTTGCAGCCATGTGAAAGTCACTCTTGAGACAGAACAGGATGGTGTTTGACTCGTATTTTTTAACAGCTATTTAGTTGCTTTCATTTTGTGCAGTGGCAGGAGCTCCCTGGTCATTACTGAGACATAACCAGGAATACCTGTTAGCATAAATAAACTGTAACTGGATTCTGCTGGACTCTGTTTTTGAAAATGTTCAAAATCCTCTTTCCCCTTTAGTCTTAAGTAGTCTCTCCCTGCTATAAATAATACACTCTCAGTGACTCCACTCTAAAAGCACAGGGAAAATTCCTTCTGAGTGGGAGGATTGGCTGTGACTGTGTCCACGGAAGGGCCATTGTGGCACCGTAACCAGACGACTGTTTCGGCAGCTGGAGGTGAAGCTTTCAGGAATACCGAGCATGGTCGCTCTTCGTTGGAAGACAGACACTTCAGAAGTGGTTTCCGCTTGGTTCTGGGAAAGAATGCAGTTGTTGAAAGAAACCAAATTTCCAGTACGGAAGTTGAGGGAAGAGCAGCCCAGACTGCGGCTGGCTCGGGGGACGTTGTCCAGCCGCACAGGCAGGGGCGGGTCCATTCCGCTGGCCTTAAAAGCAGAGCCCCTTGGCAAGCAGTTTGCTCGTGGGCTTTGCTGAGGCTCTGAAGCTAAGCACTGCTGCCCCTCGGCCTCCTGGTCCTTTGCACAGTCCCAAAATGTGGGAGCTACTGGTTGCTGACTATTCCTTACAAGGGGTCTTCAGGAATTTCTGCCAGAGTTGCACCTACAGGAGCCGGTCCAATTCCACAGGAAGGCATGTGTGTGCTGGCAGCATCCCACTGTGGGCTCACGTCTGGAGCAGAGTGCGCAGGGATAAGGTTGGCCTCGCTTGTGCTGTTGCTGCTTGGGGTCTCTGCGGTGTGAGCAAGCAGGGGGAACCTCTCCTTACTGCTGGAGAGTGAAGAAAGGCATGGGGGGATTGTCTCTGTAGCTGTCAGCAGCACTGGGCTGCTCTGTCAGTGATCTGAAAGAGAATGTGACCATGGCTGTGTCTAAGATCTCCCAGAATTTCCTGCACCTGCCGTTGCTTCAGCATTTCCCTCACAGGGATAGAGGACAACTTTCCATGATTTCTGGGCCAATTTCCTCCATTTTTCCTCTGTCAGATCCTGACAGAAATTTGGTTTGTTTAAAGTTGCTTCCCTCTGTAAGGATCAATTTGTATTTCTCTTCCTTGATCTCACTGTTGGGGTCATTATGTCTTCTGAACTCAGTGGGACGTAGTCCTTCTTGGAAGCTGTTAGCTCCATAGCCAAGAGCTATGAAGTTCTCCAGCCTCCAGTTATTTTTATTTTGGTGCAGTAATTTCACACCCACCCAACCTCACCTGTCTGTAGGAAACTGCAGAGGGAGACAGTTTCCTCTGTTTCAGATCAGTTGCTTCAGGTATCTCCTGGCCCTGTGGGATGGGATGAATTTGGCTGTCAGTGTGCCTGTTGTGTGTGCCACAGCTGTGAACACAGACTTGTTGTGTGACAGCTGAGGTTACTGCCTTTCCAGCACTGACTATGCTTGCCGAGGTTGCCTTTGTTGTTGAGCAGACACTGCACACATGTGGCTGGATTTTCCATGGGTGTGAGTCCCCATCAGCCCTGCCTAGAGAACTGCACAATATCTGAGCTCCTGTTCCCTGAAACCAGGGAAACCTCGGAGTGTGTGCTTTCCTGTGGAAAGGAGATAACGTGTTAAAAGTGATGGTGCTCTGCTCATTTGCAGAAGCCTTCCAGGCTAGCTGGTTTCTCTGAAGTCTGTTCCTGGCTCATGGATAACTTGTGTTTTTCAGCTGGACCCGCAGGTGCTGCAGGACAAAGACTGGCAGCGCACAGTCATCTCAATGAATGGGGTAAGTGTGGCAAACAGAAATTAGCTCTGCTCCTGTACCTCCTGGGGGCTTTATTTCTTTGCTATTCATTGCAGCGTGGAAAAAAAAAAAAGTGTTTAAAAAGTAACAGCTGTTCTCTTTTGTTCAGGTTGAAGTGAAGCTGTCGGTGAAGTTCACCAGTCGGGAGTTTAGCCTGAAGAGGATGCCATCCCGGAAACAGACTGGGGTGTTTGGGGTCAAGATTGCTATTGTTACCAAGTGAGCTGATGGGTCACATTTCTCCCTGGTGTTTTTTAGAAAGGGAACTGGCCACTGGGGTGCACCTGCCTGTGCCCCTCTGAGGGATTTGGCAGTCCAGCCTGCTCATGTGGTAGCGCAGTTGGCTGTGGCTGCAGACAGGAGATGCTGGACATTCTCTGAGCTTCAGTTTGGCAGGGGGAAAAAGCAGTGTGCACACAGGCTGTGAAACCCAGGGTGTTTACTGACAGCGTTGCACTGCTCTGGATTCCAAAAGTCCCTCTTGCCCTTGCCTTCTCTGTAGTTAGCTGACATGGTCACACATTTCCAGAGCCACTGAGCAGTGATGTTTCCTTTCCGTAATCAGAGAAGTTCAAGGTCTTTGGATCCTGTTGTATAATTTTAACCCCTGATCTTTTGTCACGAATCACAGCAGAAACCTGTTTGTTCTGTTGTGTGGTTGGGGAAGTGTGGTATTTCCTCCCTGTGGAATTGCATTAATTCGGAAGCAACAGAGTTGCTATGTATCCAAGGACTGTTTGGGAATCCTCTGGTTGCCTGGGCAGAGTCGCAGGCTTCAGGGGCACTGGGACCCAGCCAGAAGTTGAAATGCTCAGGGAAGCTGCAGAAGAGCCAAAGTCAGGCTGAGACAGTCAGAAAAAACCCTCTGCAGTTTTAAAAGGAGTTTTTCAGTTTGGTCCTGATTGCCTGCTCAGACTTTCTCCCACTCTATTTTCCAGAAGAGGATTGCACAGGAAATATTGGGGTGGTTTTAGCCAGCCTGGCTGGCTGGGGGAATAAGCATTGGGGGCCTGGGCTAAGCTGAACTCTTCTCTGTGGCTTTGTCAAGGAGGGAGAGGTCGAAGGTGCCTTACATCGTGCGGCAGTGTGTGGAGGAGATCGAGCGGCGCGGGATGGAGGAGGTGGGAATCTACCGCGTCTCTGGCGTTGCGACCGACATCCAAGCATTGAAAGCTGCCTTTGATGTCAGTAAGTATTTGTGGCTGATGTTTGCCTTTACTCTGTGAGAACCTGCCTGAGCAAACTGTCGGGTGGCTGTGCTATTTTTAATCTTATGTACCCCAAGAAGCATTAAGACGTAGAGATTCTTGCACAGGGAGAATCATTTTAACCCTGGCTGCATATTCTATTAATATTCTTCGGCTACTGATATAGCCCAAGTCATACAACAGGATGGATCCTTGTACCAAGTCATGCTTTTGTTATTCTTCCCAGCAGACAAGAAATGGTGGGTTTACCTGCCTTGCCAAAGCTTTGTAAATGGCACACAACTTTCTTGGGGGAAACATCAGCCATCAGAAGTCATAATTTCCTCACTGTTGTGAAGTCTCCAAACTAACAGAAGTCCTTGAAATTAAGAATGTTTTGTGAAAAGAAGCTAGCAAAAAGGTGTTTTGAGGTTGACTAGGAAGGGTGTTTGTGAAACTGGGGTTGAGTGGTCAGGGCTCCCGAGTTCTCTTCTTAACTCTGTCTAGACTGACATGTGCAGTTGGTCAAAATTAGATGATTTTGACCAACCCTTGCAAAGCTTTCTTTGATCTTGAGCAGAAAAGGGCTCCTTACTGGTGCTGCCTTTAGAAGAATGGCCTGTATGTCCCAAAAAGGCACCTGAGATCAGGCAGGTGAAACCTACTGAGGTACAAAAAGGTGAAATTCTGCCCTACTTCCAGCTCCACATGATGGACCAGAGCTGCTCAAGCCACACTCCAACTCCCTTGTTAGGCTAGCAGTCAAGAGACCTGTGCCAGGTGCCCAAATTCAGCCTCTCCACACTTTTCCTTCACTTATTTAGTGAAATTCCTTCCTTCTTGTATTTTCTTTTCAATCCCCCTAAGCTACCAAAACCACTGATTGATGAACCTCCACTAGTGCAAGTAAGGGTCTTTCACAGTTTGAAAAACCACTTTTTCCTCTTCTGTTAAATGCTGTTTTAAACTAAGTTTCATGAAACCAGTGCTGGCTCTGCTGGTTGGTCTCTTTGTTTTAGAGAAAGAGGGTGGTTTTGTTGTTCTTAATAGTAACTGAACTGACATGTGAGCCCTGAATTGTCTGAGTACTTTAGCTACACTCAGTGGGGAGTTAGACAGGCTCAGAGTCTCTTATTCTAAGCTGTTAGAGGCAGAGAATTGGAATAACAACTGTTGTCACTAACAAAAGTTCAAATGCATATAAATACAGCCAAGTGGGTTTTGGTCAAATCAGGCTGAGGTTGCTGGCAGAGCAGAGCTAACCGTGGGAGTGTGAGCTTCCCTCAGCTTGATGTAAAGCCATGGACTGTTAGTAGTCATTTGTGGGGCACTTCTCAGTTGTTGGGAGGCAGCTCAGTTGATCTGGAGAAATGTAAACAGGAAAACTCTCAGCTATTTGGGCAAAGACAAAGGATAAACAGACTCAAAGCATGGAAAAGAAGGAATGCAAGGCCAGCAGCTCCTTTACCCTGCCTCCCCTTGCCCTCTTGCAGACAACAAAGACGTGTCGGTGATGATGAGCGAGATGGATGTCAACGCCATCGCAGGGACCCTCAAGCTGTACTTCCGGGAGCTGCCGGAGCCTCTCTTCACTGACGAGCTCTACCCCAACTTTGCTGAAGGCATCGGTAGGTAGCAGCAGAAAGAACCCTGCATATAATGGACATTCTTGGTAGGAAACTGCTCCTAAAGCAACACAAACCCTGTATTTATGGTGTTGGACAGAAGCCTGGAACAAGCTGTGAGGGGAATGGAATGGAGCTCAGAAATGAGCCTTGGAATGACATTGTCTTCCCATGAGGCTGAGTACAGGCGATTGCCATGCTGTTTTGCAAGCTGGAAAAGCCCAGGTTTGTGCAGGATAGGTGGAGAACAGAGTGCCAGCCTGCTTGCTGGGGCTGTGCACACTGTTTGCCCCATCAGGCTTCCAGGGGAGCTCCCTGTGTGGGGGTGGGAGAAGGAGATGTATCTTACGTTGCCTTGATGCAGAGGAAAATCATCACAACCATTGAAAGTCTGAAAGCACTCTCAATTCTCAATGCATCTGTGAAATAAAGAGCTGCTGTGGGGTATTGATGTGCAGCTCTGACCTACCAGCTCTGATGTAATCACAGTGCATTTGGGACCCTTGTGTTGGCTGGTTTGGGAATGGCTCTGTCAGATTCTCACTCACTGCCTATGGTGATGTCTTGTTCCCTTGTCTTGCAGCACTTTCAGATCCAGTTGCAAAGGAAAGCTGTATGTTGAATCTGTTGCTGTCACTTCCAGAACCCAACCTTGTGACATTCCTTTTCCTTTTGGACCATTTAAAAAGGTAATATGTGGTTCCTTAAGACTATTCAGTGTGTAAAGCATCAGAGCCTTTCCCTGAAATTCTGATAGCTCAGTCACACAAACCAAGAAGCATTTGCTGATGTGCTGTGAATGCTCATCAGATAACTGTTGTCTCATACTTAGTGAGGCAGTAAATCCTGAATTCCATTCCCACTCATACTTAAAAAGGATTAGAACTGGAGCAAAGGGGTGACAGAAAAGTCAGGGCTTATCTAGCACAAATGCAAATTAGTGCTGCAATGTCACTGCAAAACTGCACCTGCATCTGGATGCAAATATCAGAAAAGACTTTGTATAAATCATGGAGCTTTGGCCTGTTAAAGATCTGGTGTGCCCTGTCTCAAAAGGTGTCTGAAATCCAATATGATCTATTTGTAAAATTCCAGCACTTTCCCTAGCTGCAGTTGTCAGTTCCTTGTTTAGTCTCATCCTTCTGATCTTGTCCATTCCTTGGTAATGTGGTTGTAAACTGTGAAAAAGTTTTTCCATGCATTTGATATTAGTGCAATAGGCTTGTTTAATACCTGCCCAATGTGCATGCCAGAGACTGTCCCTGGAGGGATAAAAGATCATTTTACAACTGAGGTTCTAGATTAAAATCCAGGAAGTCTGGGGTTTGTAGACTTTTCTGCCCGTGGGCAAACTTCTAACATTTGTGCCTCAGTTTCTCATTTGTAGAACTCAGGTATTTATAAAGATTTGCTTGTGCATTATTTGTTCTCCCAGGGTTGCTGAGAGGGAAAGTGTTAACAAGATGTCCCTGCACAATCTTGCCACTGTCTTTGGACCAACACTGCTCAGACCTTCGGAGAAGGACAGTAAAATCCCTGCCAACCCAACCCAGCCCATCACAATGACTGACAGCTGGTCTCTAGAAGTCATGTCCCAGGTAAAATCCTGAACGTGCTATTGCATCCTGTGAAGACACTGTGGGAGAGCACAGTCCTCTGGATGCCTGGCTCAGCCATCCCACTGTGCTGTCCTGGCAGGTTTTGTGATAAACATCAAACAACTCCTGCCCTTACACAGACACTTTAGACTGTTTTTAGAACTGTGTTTCTAGAGTTTGTGCCTGTACAATTACAGCTTTCCAAGAAAGAATGTCCATGTGTGTGCATCCTCTGTGTGTGTGTGCATGAGAGCAGTTTTTGGGAAGCTGTCCCCCAGCACTGTGCTGCTGGCCTGGGATGAAAGGATTGACAGTGTTTCTGCAGTGCTCCTCAACACTTAAACCACCTTCACTGATGCACAACAAAATTCTTTGCTAAATTCAGGTTTCTTTGGCTGCTGCTGCCTTTGAAGGTGATGCAGAAGGTTGAACACAGATTGTGTTACTGGTCAGGCTGGTTTGTACATTCCTGTTGAATAATGGCAAATTCTAGATCAAATGCTTTCAGTGCAGTGAACAGCAGCACCATTGTTCCACCCTGGAAGCTGAAAAGAGTGTCTCTGAAGCACTGCAGGTTTTAATGTGTCTGCTGATGTTACACAGTGTGTTAAAACAAATCCGTAACTTCTAGGTGTTTCCCTGGAGAGAGCTGTAGGTGTGTCTGCCAGCTCTCGTAGCTGGGATGAGGAGGAGTTAACAGAGCTTCATTACTACCTCAGTCTTTCTCTTTCCAGGTTCAAGTTCTTCTGTACTTCCTGCAGCTAGAGACTATCCCTACCCCGGACAGCAAGAGGCAAAGCATTCTCTTTTCCACGGAGGTGTAGGTGCCTGTGGTACCACAGGACCCAAAAAACTGCTCTTGGCATAACTCTGCCACCCCTGAGAAAAAGCTGACTGGTGTTTCCTCAGCCATGACTGGCCTGTTCCTGTGCTGGGGAATTCTGGCCCTCGGTGCTTCTGCTGTTTGTTAACCAGAGACAAGCTGGAGAGAAAGGAGAAAAACCTCTCCTTGTGCTGGTAGGACCAGAACTGAGCTGGAGATGGAGCTGTGCAGAATCTCCACTAGAAGGAGCAATAGACACTTGAACAAATGCACCACAGAGTGTGGCGATTATTCTTGTTGGGAATGTGACAGAAGGTATTCCTCATTTTATGAATTTAATTTATCATAAAGGAACTTCAAGATTTCTACTGGACCACTTGATAGGACACCCCTTTTGGGTGAGGGGGTTAAAGGATATATCACAACTGTGTCTTTAATAACTGCTGTTTTCCAAGTACTGTTCTAGGCCACAAAAATAGCATTGCTTTGCAAGAGGAAAGACAAGAGAAAAGGGTCTGGGATCTAAGATTCCCTCCTCAGAAATTCAAGTCTTGATTTGAATAGGGTTCTAAAGAAATCAAACAGTTTTAGGTACAACTAGAACTGTGTATCTGTTTGGGGGCTGGGTGTTTTTGTTTGGGGGTTTTTTTTTGTCTCTCCCACCCCTTCCTGTGCAGATGTTTATACACTCCAGAGAGGGAGATGCCTCTTGCCTATGTTGCACTTCTGATGGGTTTTTTGGGTTAAGGGAGACAGACCCAATGAAATTACTCTGTAAATAAATACAGCAAATGAAAGAGAGGTGGGGAGGATAAGAGTCAGTGATTCTGTTATTTGTTTGATTATAAAAGCAGGGGCACTATTATCCAGGCAGGATTGCAAAATTCCTTAAGCCCTACCAAACTCAATGAAAATTAATTGGGAAGACTGTTAATTCCCAACACTCCAAAGAAAACATGTTATCACTCCAAAAGTAACTGAGGAATCTGTGACAAAAAAGAGTGAATGGCTGTTTGGCTGGCTGCTTACTCCAGACTTTCATCAGAACATCTGTGTTTTTGATACTTGAATTTTTGGGGGCTTTGTACATTGCTTCTACAAGAGTCTTTTTCTGATAGATACAAATACTCTGAAAAATGTGTCCGAATGTACTTCATGGACAATCTAGCAAGTAGCATGCATTGTGGGTTCTCCAGAAATTCCAACCCTGTTTTCAACAAAACCAGTGTAGAAATTTCTGTGGAACTCCATCCAGCAGTACAAAAGGTCTGGCCAAACACCAATTTTGCGTTTCCCTTCCTAAATCAGTTGAAGCTACAGGGGCAGAAAGGGCAGCAGTATTTGTCCAGGGAATTGAAACTGCAGAATCTAATTGCTGCTATCCAGAGCTGAGCATTCTGGCTATGAGCAGTTGTGCCAAACATCCTGGGGGGTGGGAGCAATGCCATTTTCCTACACCACTCCAGCCCCCCCTGCTTCCCACCCAGCTATGCAGCATCCATTTAGTGGCATCCGTCCATCATCGTCCTGGTGAGAAGAGAAGTACAGCTGGAAGACAAGGGAAGGAATTGGCATGAGAAGGGGAGGGAGGGACAGATTTTCAGAGGTTGGTAGAGTCAGGTTGTCACCATCATTTGCAGGGGAATATGACACAGAAGGCAACCCCTCTGGTGCAGAACTGCACATTTGCTGGTGGGTGATCTGCAACCCCTCAATTAGAAAAATAGCACAGGAGTGTTTCAAACAAATGGAAAGAAACAATTAAAGGGAAATGATTTTGTAGTCACTGTAATCCTGACTGCTGCGTAATACTAGAAATTATTGTACTGTGAAGTTGCAAAATCCAAAAGGAAGAAATATGAATTTCAATTTTGTGAGTATATCAATATTTTGCATGCTTTGTAAGGATTCTTATAGGAATTTACTATTGCTTAGTATCCCTCCCTCCTTAGGTCTGGGAGCAAACCTCTTTGTAATGTAATGTACAACTAGGAATTCCTTCTCTCTTGTATGTATTTCCACTACATTCCAACTTCTGAACCCACAAACCAGTAAAGTGTCTACAGTAGGAAGGTGCTTTTTGGGGGAGGGAGGGAATGAAGGCAAGGAAACTTGAAGGCTTAAGATTTTGATTTTTTTTTTTTTCTAGTTTTTATTTTCATATTTTGCCTGTTTGAAGGTAAAAATTAGTCACAATCCTGACGAACATTGACTTGAGCCAAGTCACGCAGAGCAGTAAAGCACACTCTGGTTTTGTTTTTCTGTGTGTTCTCCCTTTTCCCTGGCAGCTCTGGCAATTCTTGTACCACAGGCTGCACCCTGCCCCCAGCTCTGGGGGTGTACCTGAGGCAGGAGCTCTGCTGATGACTTCGTGGAAAAGGGAAGGTGATAACCTCTTCCTTTGGTGTTTGGAATCTGTCAGTGCTCCTTGCAGTGTTGAAACTGGAAAGCAATACCATAATGACTGTGCCAATTTACTTTTGCCCAACATTTTTTTATTTTTATTTATATAGGAAGTTAATATTAATATTAAATTACTGATCTATAGTGTGTAACCACGAGGAAATTGCTTTTGCTTTGGTTACTGTGACAGGTTGTTGCTGTCAGTCTGGTTACAGTGCACAGTTCTAGTGTAAGGTTATCTAACATGCAGGCATGTGGA